TGATCGTCTTTTCCGCCTTGCAATGTTTTATCAACAATCCAACCGCATGCGAAAACATTTATTCTATGCCATTCGTGCGAATAAATGCTATAGAAATCTCAGCATCGATATCGATAGCATTTAATTCTGTTATTTTATTTACTTCAAAACAAAATAAATTCGTATCCAGTCAACTGCAGTTGACGTATATACTCCACAGGCAATATATATAACAATGCTATTGTAATTCTCTATTTACAGAGTTTGCCGCTGAAATATGTTTGTGGAAAATATAAGATTAAAATTTACTGTAATAATATTTTTATATAAAAAATTATGATTTTTTGTATCAAATGTTTCGCATTACATAGTTGTGAATTGAAGCTTTAACCGTGTTTTACCTTTTAACATGTACTGTAGATTTATATAATTTCATTAACTTCCCATAGCGTAAGCTATAGTAATCGCAAAAAATCGAAAATGAAAAATTTTACATATCTTTACGTTTCAAAGGTTTCTGATTATTTTAGCATACTTCAGAAAAAAATGTTGTATGTGTGTGTGTTCGGATACAATTTTTTGTCGACGATTTCGTGAATAGGAAGCTACCGATTTGAATAATTCAAAAAGCATTCCATTCGTATTGGGGGCGAGACATGCTAATTAGTTTTTGCCAAAAACAGGTTCAGCACTTTCGAAGATACGGCAAAAAGTGCCAAAAATGGTAATTCAGTCTTTGAGATAATAGAGCGTCCGATTTAATTGATTTAAAAAACATTTTATTTATATTGATGAGATGAAGAATTGATAAAATTTTTGTGAAGGCAGATCTAGTGGTTTCAAAAACGTAAAATAATGCCATATGGTGGTCAAAAATGATCATTTAACATATGCACATCAAATTATCAGGCGCGATTGCTTTGAAAAAGTTCAAAATTTTAAAAAGAAAAAAATTAAAATATAAAAAAAACATATTTTAAAAAAGTCAATATTTTACAAAAATTCCAAAATTCTCAAATATCTATTTTTCAAAGTTCTGAATCTTGAAAAAAAAATGTGGTATGGGTAGTTTCCTGCAATTTTCCTTTAGGCACGATGCTATATACAACTAGTTTAAAACAAAATCAAGGAATTGTTATAGACAATTTTCTAAAACTTACAAAAACAAGTTTCTAAAACTTGCAGAAGTAAAACGGGAATTGACAAGAACATTTTCTGATATATACTACTATCGAAGTTTATCTACCATACTGAGAAATTAATATTTATTTGCCTATAAATGAATAATTTTTGGCTAAAATGAAGATTTTGACTTCTTTTAATATTTAAAAAAATGAAATGATTAATAGGGCTTCTTACAGATATAATGGCTACTAGCAAAAACTTTCCTTTTTCTTGAGAAAATGAAAAACGAATGATTAATCAACCTTTCATGAATCAATTTAATAATCAAAATACTTTAAATCCAAAATCAAATTTTTACCAAATCAATAGATAAAATGGCAAATAATCAAGCAGTATATATATATATATATATATATATATATATATATATATATATATAAATGCATATTATAATTGATAGTAGATTGAAAACCTAATTTATGTAACAGATTGACAAAAAGCTCATTCACAATGTTTTCGAAAATTACATACTAAAGCATTTGTATGATATAAAAAATTAATATTACTGTTTTGCGCGGAAAACACCAAAAGCAGAAATGCTCTAGAGACGCCCACTAATTACGTGAGGTGAAACGAGCAAAGTTGAGTTCAGTAAAATATTATTCAATCTAACTTGGCCGGGCGAGGGTCATAATAAATGTTTATATTTTGTTAAATCTTTCGTTAGTCATTTGTATAGAGAACAAAAAAATTAAAAAATCAATATTAAACAATAAAAAGTGTAATGTTATTTCGAGAGGAGAATTGCATGAAATTAGTAACAAGTAAATGAATATCAGAGTAAACTTAAAAAATTCAAACGTTTTAAAAATGGTTTCTAGATCTAACATAGCGCGACATGAATTGTCACTTTTGATTCACTTATGGCTAAGTTATATCTAAAAGACATTTTTAAAATTTTTGAAATTTTTTCCATGCTAATTCCATACGAAACTTTGATTATTTTGCGCTCTATCTAAAAGTTAATATTAAGAGCTAAAACTTTTAGAGATTTTGTTTTATCAATTTGGAACCATTTGAGGCCCTGGGAGCGAGGAAATTCGAAAATGTTCATATCATATATATATATATATATATATATATATATATATATATTAGAGTGGTCCTTAATATGGACATTTATGAATTTTATTGCTCCCAGGGGCTTAAATGTTTCAAATCGATAAAAAAAAATTCTCTAATAGTTTCAGCTCTGAATATTAACGGTTAGTTAGCGCGCAATTCAATCAAAGCTTCGTATGGAAATAGCATGGAGGAAATTCGAAAATTTAAAAAATGTTTTCTAGGTATAACTTAGCGACAAATGAATTAAAAGTGACACGAATTGTCATCTTTTATTGAAAGTTTGCATATTGGTTTTGTATTGAAAGTTTTATAATTTGTTTTGTAGAGCGTCGAATTTTGAATAAAGCTCATTCATTTGTTCGCTAAGTTATATCTAAAACACATTTTTAAATTTTTTGAAAATTTTCCTATGCTATTTCCATACAAAACTTTGATTAAATTGCACACTATCTAAAAGACAATATTAAGAGCTAAAACTTATAGAGGATTTTTTTTATCAATTTGGAAGCATTTGAGCCCCTGGGAGCAAGAAAATTCGAAAATGTCCATATTAAGGACCACTTTAATATATATATATATATATATATATATATATATATATATTAGGGTGGTCCTTAAAATGGTCATTTTCGAATTTCTTTGCTCCCAGGGGCTCAAATGATTCCAAATAGATAAAAAACAATTCTCTGAAAGTTTTAGCTCTTAATATTAACGTTTGGATAGAGCGCAATTCAATCAAACTTCGTATGGAAAGAGCATGGAAATTTTTTGAAAATTTAAAACAAATGTTTTAGGTATAACAGCGACAAATGAATGAGTTTTATTCATTCATTTGTTCGCTAAATTACATCTAAAAAACATATTTAAAATTTTTGAAAATTTTTTCATGATATTTCCATACAAAACTTTGATTGAATTGCGCTCTATCTAAACGTCAATATTGAGCTAAAACTTTCAGAGAATTGTTTTTTATCTATTTGGAACCATTTGAGCCCCTGGGAGCAAGGAAATTCGAAAATGACCATTTCAAGGACCACCCTAATATATTTATATATATATATATTTTGTATGATTCTGAATTTGATGTTGACATATGTATTAACAAAGTCTAATAATCGGGCATAACATCAATAAAAAACATGAATTTCTTTCAAAAATTTATTTTAAATCCATACGTTTCGGCTATAATCCTAGCCTTCATTCAGTGGAAAAATTAGTTGATCTTAGTGTTACATCTTCAACCAGTCTACGAATAACACACTATTCATTTGTGATTTTTTCAAATCAGTATTTTGTGAAAATATTGTGTAATTTCAAGTTAATGTTTATAATACATAGTGTAGTGCATTACCATATCCTAATACCATGGATTATTAAAATTTTCCAATTTAACACTAAGATCAACTAATTTTTCCACTGAATGAAGGCTAGGATTATAGCCGAAACGTATGGATTTAAAATAAATTTTTGAAAGAAATTCATGTTTTTTATTGATGTTATGCCCGATTATTAGACTTTGTTAATATATATATATATATATATATATATATATATATATATATATATAGTATAGCTTTTGTTATGCTTCGTGAAAAATATGTAGCCCTTTAATTGCTATTGTTTAAATGTCAATGTAATTTGATGGATGGCGCACTAAATGTCACCAAGTGAAAATTAATCGAAAATCACCTCGCGTAATTAATGTCCACTTTCCACTAAGGGAGTAATGGATGTTCACTTTCGAAAAATTAATACGCGGATACTCATTCCTACGGCATACGAATATATATATATATATATATATATATATATATATCTCTAGGGCAGGTACGTGAGTTGAGACTCCAACTTAAATTACGGCAGTTGTAGTATGAGAAGTTTCCCATTGCCATTTTCAACCGCAGTGCCCGGAGAGAAAATAATCACTTGGATCACGAAATTTTCGAAATCATTAATGTGGGAGGGTATTTTAAGTCACCTGGGTCAAAAGATCTAGATCTGGGACAAATATTGCTTTTAAAAAAACCCGGGACACAAGCTAGAAATCCGGAACTTTCTCGGCCAAGCCGGGACGTATGGTCACATTAGATTCACGTGCAATATTCTTAAATAAACTCGAATTGTCTTAATGACTTCATGATTTATCTTTAGGTATATACCAATTTCAGCTAAATTAGTTCAGCTAATTTAGAAACACGACGAGAGAATAGATTTCAATCCAGTGAGTGTCTTCGATTTTCTTACGGGGGTATTCTAATAATTTTACAAATTGGAGACCGTTTGAATAAAAAGTGTTTTTTTACTGTTTTTTCGAGTTTCTCGAATTTTTTAAAAATAGTAAAAATTGGAATTTGGGGATAATCCTAGTTCGGGCTACAGATAGGTCTATAAACAAGACTCTCTGAACATTTCAAGTGAATCGGTCGATTAAAACTCGAAAAATCGTGTCAACAGTACTGAAAAAGTCTGTTCTGAAAAAAGGTATTTAAAGTTTTGCGTGAAGCCAAACCAGTATGGAGACCGAGTCAGTAAAATGCCTATATCTCCGAAAATAATTCAAATTTTCAAAAACCTTCTCGTACCCATATCCTTAGATAGTTAAACTTTGAAAATATGAAATAAAAAAAAATGATTTTTTTGAATTTCTACACTAGAATACCCCCTTAAGTCCAATTACGAAGAAGGATCTTATCTTGTAGCTAATTATTATATTGATAATATAATAGGATATAATAGTTTTATCAGTTTGTCTATTACAGTTTTAAATAATTTTAGATAAGTGGATGGTTCTGAACAATATGTATTAATATAGTAAATTATCATTATTTATCATTTTACAATACCTGGTCATTGGCTTCACTGGTTGACACATCACTAGCCAAATCGCATGTGACAATTGGTATTTGATTCTCATTACTTCCACTGTTGTCGATATTTTCAATCGTAGCAATCATTTGCTCTTTCGTGATCTGCAGCCGATTGGCATTATTTACATGATGTTCTGGATTTGTACTAGATAGAAGCAACTGCTCCTGCTGCTGCTGGAGCTGCTCACTACTGTCCAGTGAGTCGGATAGCTGAGATTCCGACTGGGACATTTGGCACCTTGATTGTATCAATTTTGATTTGTTTTGCGTGAGATCGGATGATGAAAATCTGGTAGGAAAATGAGGAATCGGGCGTGTTCCCTTAGTTGAACCTGGGTAAAAAATAATAATTGATTGATTAGTTATGATATGGCATATAAATATAATGATTATATTTGAGAGCCTTTAGAACATGCTTGTGTACAAAAAAGTGCAATTTATGCTGATCAGTAATTTTTGATCGCTTCTATTACGTATGTCAATAAAAAATGTCATTATAGATATTATAGAAAAACTGCATATAGGCACATATAGAGTAATGTTGCTTAAGGGTGACAACTAGTGTGAAATTTGCCAAAAATCGAATTTTCAATTTTTCCATATTTCGATAGATTATACCTTTAAAAATAACATACCAATATTTTAAATCAATGTCGTGAATAGTTTTTTAGTTACAGCCACTTGAAGAGTATATATATAATATGTAGTATAACGATCATTTTATCTTTAAGGGGGTATTCTAGTGTAGAGCGATGAATTTTAGGTCATTTTTAAAGTGTCGTAAAAGAAAGCAATGAATGTCTTTATTATCCATTTTTTTACCACTTATTTATTAATATTGTTAAAATACAAAACAAAAATTAAAAAATAAAAAAGTTGAAAATTGTAAAAACTGGCAGCTGATAAAGTGGGTGGTCTCAAAAAATTGGCACCTCAGTCTGGACATGATTTCAGCCCTCCTAGCCATCGGAAATGCAAAAAATAAAAAGATTATTAATCTACAATGATGTCGCAATCGGCTGAACAAGCGATGAATAAAAAATTTGTTTTTCAAAAATTGGCGACTGTTTGAAAAAAAAAGGTTTTTTTTGCTGTTTTTTGAGTTTCTCGAATTTTTTAAAAATAGTGGAATTTCAGGATGATTCTAGTTCAGACTATAGATAGATCTATAAACAAGACTCTCTGAAAATTTCAAATAAATTGGTCGAGTAGAACTCCAGAAATCGTGACAAGAGTACTGAAAAAGTAAGTTCTGAGAAAAACGCATTTAAAGTTTTGCGTGAAGCCAAACCAGTATGGAGACCGAGTCAGTAAAATGCCTATATCTCCGAAAATAATTCAAATTTTCAAAAACCTTCTCGTACTCATATTTTTAGATAGTTAAACTTTGAAAATATGAAATAAAAAAAAATCGATTTTTTTGAATTTCTACACTAGAATACCCTCTTAAACGCGTCTTTCTCGAAACATATTCCGAATTTGCTGCAGCGATTACTCAAAAACAAATGATCCGATCACCATCAATTTTTTTTACATGTTCTATATATAGTTTTCCGTAAAATGAACTATCGATTTTTTGATCGGATCAAAAATCGAATTTTTGCAGTACAAAAACGAATAAAATTTTGGGTAAAATTCGACTTTTTTTTAAAACGCCGCCATTTTATCAATTTTTTATTTTTTTATCGTAGGTCATTTTATAGACAATATTATCTAGTTTAACGCGAATTTTTTTTTAAATTTCATCCACGTAGAAGGCCGGATCACTGCAGCAGTGAGAGGCCTTTTTTCGCGCCGTTGGAAATCGACGATAACTTTAAAAATATTTAATTTTTTTCTTCAAAAATTTTACTATGTATTCTTAAAACATGTGTAAATATATTCATAAAATTTTGAAATGATTGATGAAGTTTTTTTTTAATAGAAATTCCCAAAAATCACCTTTTTTTAGGTGGCTACACTATTTGTGCCCCTTAAGTTCACTGGCTAAATCGTACCCCAGCAATATCTTGTCTGATATTTATAAATTACATTATTTGGTACCATGAAATGAAATGAGTGTGTATGCTTGAGTAAGCATACGTTTACAATTGGAGGGCTGACCGACTTTGTGAATAAGAAGTTATTAAAAAAATTTATTGAAATTTTTTACTTAATTGTAAATTTTATATAACAAGAATATAATTATGACAAATTTTCACTACTTTTTCTTTATATCACTAATTTGGCAATCGTTAAGACATATTTAAATGATATAATAATAATAGTAACATGAGCCTTGCAGCTTAATTTGTACCCTTGCTTCTTTGTACCATTTCATAGAAGGAGTTTCTTCATAAATATGAATAAATAATAGATAAATACAAGATTCTAAAGTTTTTGCTTTAGAGCGAAAACACCAAGTGGGTTTAATCAATAATAACGCGTGTTATCTTCATAAATAGTTCATCGCCATTCTTAGCACACAAGGGCATAATAAATTTATAAGTACATTTGTTACTTTTCTAGATTATTATTTTACTTCAAGTATTATTTTAATTAGATTTGACTTTTTAACTAATTAGCAAGAAAAGTTGATCCTAGACTATATTGTGTATAGTTTATTACATGTTTACTAGTAGGTACGACTTAGGCTATGCGTCTTATTCGTAACGCTTGTACATTTTTGAGCAACGTAAAATTACATATAGTAATAAAAAAAGAAAATTTAAGTAGTTTATTAAATATTTAGTGAATGCCAAAAATTTTTCTTTGATTTAACTGTACTAAATTAAATATTATTTCCTTAGCACGTCTTAAGCAATTTTATGCAATGTGTATAAAATGATATGTATAGATATGTATATATATATATATATATATATATATATATATATATATATATACCTGTTTCTTTTTACACATGATGAATTTACGACATGACACTAAAATATCATACCGCTCTTGAAAATATTTTGTATACAAATTCATCCTCTGAGATTTAAATGCCCAACAGATTGCAAACAATAGACAACATTATAATGAAAATATTAATTTAATTGCTGTAATTCATATCCAGTAGCCCCAAAAATACATAAAGCGCCAAAAGAAAAATCTAGATCGTTATATCATGACTGACGACAATAACGTATTATATGCGCAAACTTCGCCGTTCTCAAATTACTTCCAAAAATTTCTTTTGTTCAACATTTTTACTAATAAAACTTATTTATAGAGTATAGGTAGGCTTACAGGTATATTACAAGCAGTGGTTACGCACGTAATTTTATACATATCCCTGGGGAAGATGAAATTTCACTTTTCCGAAAAGTTTGATAATTTATAAATAAATAATTGAAAAGTAACGGAATTTTATATTATATATACATGTATAATCCCAGACGTAGAATGATATTTTTTGCCAACATTCATATGTATAGCCAGTTCTTTTAATATGTAAATTTTATTCAAATATCACATCGTTTATTAAAGTTTGGCTAGAGTATGCATATTAGAAATTAAAAATGTTTCAAATTATAAAAGTTATGGATTAAAATTATATATATATATATATATGGATATGTATGTATATATATTTATGTATGTGTATGTATGTATGTTGGGTTTTGCAGCCTGATCGATAGCGTGTCCGCTCCATAGAGAGGAGGACATTGGATTGATTCTTCGGCGAACTTAGGTGATATCAGTGAGCAGCGATATTATTTTGCATAATGTAGTTTCTAGTGTCAATTGGGCATTGAAATGTAAAAAAGAACTACAAAAACTAGTGGTGCATGTCATCGTGCCTTAAGGTAAATTGTTGGAACTTTCCGAATTACACTTTTTGAAAATTTTGAAGTAACTTAATCCATATTCTCGTAAAAGCGATTTGTCAGGATTTTTTTTCCAACCATATAAGTGAACATTGAACATTATAAATCTTGGTACGGAACCCAAAGACATAAAAACAAGATACATACTTATAATTAGAATGTCTGTAAAATATCTGATAATTTGATGTGCATATGTATAATGATCATTTTAACGGCACAATGACGTTTTTTTACTTTTTTCTGGTTCTTCAATACCACCTTTCCAAAAATTTAATCAGTTATTCAATCCGCCAATACAAGTGAAATATTTTTTGAATCATTCAAATCGGACGTTCTCTTCTCTCAAAAACTGAATTGCTAATGTTAGATTCCTTGTTTCGTATCTGTGTAATAGATTGGCCAAAAACTAATCAGCAAATCTTTTTGTCAATAGGAATCGAATGTATAAACTATACCAGAAGACTAAAACAAACGCCCATGGATTTAATTAACGCATAAAATGACGTCAACTTATATCTATTATTTTTAATTTAGGGGAGAATGCAACTGTGTACTCTTCCAAGCATTCAACAATTCATTTCCAGACAGTTACTTATTATTTAATATCAGTAATAAAATTAACTTAATGTCTTTTGAACAGGTGTAAATTATATACACAATAAAAAAAAGGATTCGAATGTAATCCGTGCTCTGCATATCGTCGACAAAAATTTGTATCCCCACATACGCACTACTCCTCTGTCCCCCCCCTCCCCCGCCAAACACATACATACATCCATTTCTTCTAAGATATGCCAAAGTGTTCAGAAACTTTTGAAACAAAAAGTTATTCAAAAATTTCATTTTTATTTTTTTGTGATTACTACTACTACGGAAAGTTAAAATTTTCATTCATTTTGTTCGCTGGTTTTATTAAATATTTTTCAGAATTCAAAGCGGTCTATAAATTGCACATGGATTTTGCAATTAACTATAAAACGGTAAAATGGATAATATAAGCTAGCTATAGCCATTGACGATGGTGATAACATTCACATTTCATGCCGGTATAATTTAATCGCGGTCTTCGTGTCTATATTAAATTTTGATACAGAGATAAATGAAAATATGATTTATAGTCTGACTTGAGATGAAATATAAATGAATGAATAACATTTGCACGTCGTTTTGTGTTTATGTTTTGCATTTGCATTTGTCTTCTACGTGAGCTTTTACGCGTGATCCTTTTTATCTCCCTCGTTTGTTTAAGCACGTCTTTTTCAATGTGTCAACTCCAGTTTTGGAATATCAATTTTCCGACACCAATAAAATAAAACGACGTCGATTTTCAGCGTCTGCTTCATATTTTCTCTATCAATATCGATATTTTTTTATTATTTTTTCGGAACCTAGATTATAAAATTCTAAATAGAAAATCAAGAAACTTACCTGCAGTAAAACTAGTGGTGACATTGGCCTGTAGCTTTTTCCTGGTCATTTGTTTCCTTATACCTCTTCTGGCTCGGGCTTTTGCGGCAAAATAAATCCTAATGTACACGAAGACCATGATACACGATGGCACGTAAAAGCTTCCCAAGGCCGAGTATAGCACATACCCGATGTCATTGCTCAACTGAAAATTAATGAAAACATATGTAACAGTAGCACTACAAACAAATTCAATTCGGTGTGCTTATTAAAGTATTTTTATCAGGATAATAGATTAATTAGTGCAATACCATCATAGGATTAATTAAGCTAGTCAAATTAGTGTACCTACTGCATTGCATTGTTTTTACATGTCCCATAAGTTTGACCCAATATTAAAGAACTTCTTAAATTGTCTAAAAATTTTTTTATCAAAATTGTTAATGATCCACAATATACAACATAAAACTTCTACGATTTCAGAGAATACTTTTTATAGTAAAATAATATCATGGGAAGATGAGTGAAAACAACTAAACCTGTATTAACTTCCCGAAGGAGAAGTTTATGTTTTTATCAAAAAATCCGATTAGCTAATTTTATGTTTTCTCCACGTTTCAAGCCATTCTCAATCGAATGAGACCAAATTTGGAAAAAGTGTGTGTGTGTGTGAACAGATTTTTTACTGAAAATGACGTTTTCTCACAAACAACTGGACCGATTTCAAAAATTTAAAAGCCTTTCGATTTATCTCAATGAGGACTATCGTTTGTCAGTTTTTTTTTTTTTTGACTCAGTTTTATTTAGCAATCAGAAATACATAAAGATTCCTATGAGCTAAAAAGACAATATTTATGAGTGATGCCTAAGAAGAACTCCAATGAGAACTTCTCAGTTTTACAATTAATATGATATATTAATTAGTTATATTAGTTTGTCAGTTTTGTGCGACGATCTGCCGAGCCGTTTCTTTGTAATTTGAAAAAAAGTGTTACTTTCCGTCCACATTTGAGCTCATATTACCGAATAGATTTTAAAAAATCAAAAACTGTTCGAAAGATATTAGTTCGGAATTATACTTATTAGCTTTAGGTGAAAATCTACCGAGCGTTTCTTGAAATTAATTTTTGAAAAAAAATTAAACCGATTTTTATGGAACTTTATAAATCTTACTGAAATATTACGGCCTTATGACAAGGAATTTAACTTTAAAAACTCATCCTCATGAGTAGTTTTTTTGACGTTTGTTGAAATTAAAATTAGACGATTTACTTGGTATAACGATAGAGTACTTGGCCTTAATGAACATACTAAACCATTAAAGTCCTACGAAAACTGGTTCAATTATATAAATTATTGATATTTAAATTTTGCTTTTAGAAAATACTCAAAGTTAACGTGTTTGTTCGTTTTCAATTATGTGTAATAAATTCACTCGAAATACTTTTAATCAATCATAAATGAATTTATGACTATTTACACTTATCGGTAAGTTCATGTAACTTGCCTCAAGGCAAAATATCAATACCAACTAGTTAAATCTTTTTTGGCAGACTATGCCCATTGTTTGACTTTATAATTTTGAGAATTCGTATATTTGTATAATGACCAAAATTTGGCATTGGCTATTATACACTTTGAAAAATACTACATGAATTTATTTTAATATTTAGTAAACCTTTCTTTTTAAAAATAATAATTTGCTATTTTATAAATAAATAAATATAGTTTATTACAGAAATACGGAGAAAGTAATGGCATTGCGATGGCTAAACCATATAAACCAATGATATCTACGAGTATACAAAATTTCATTTGAATAATTATTTTCCGTCTAATACGGTATCCAATTAACAGACTCGAGGGACTTTCTCTCATGTTCAACAATTTATTAATCACCACCCATTCTGAATATAATTACCTCATGGCCGACATTTTGATTTGTCTATTATTTTCATTACTGATTAATTAACGTTAATTGAGTACTTACTGGAGGAATTTCTTCAGAGGTTTATTTGCATTGAAGGATCTGATATAAAATTTACTTAATTGCAAGAGCCATGCTTTTGCAATTAGGCGAGAGATGAATAAAATACTCAGGTCATTTTTTAAATTACGAAAGAGAGCTTTGAAAATAATTTTGAAATTTGTTGTGAGCAATTCAGTTCACGAATGTATAGTCTAGTTAGGGATAAGTAAGCGATTTACTGGGGCGATCGGTAAACGTGACTCATTTTATAAAATATTACCTGGCACGTAGGAAATGGCTCATCAGGTCGATCCACTTTCCAGCCTAGTAGTGGCGGTATGCAAATTACAGCTGACATAATCCATACGGCAGCTATCATTCCAGCAGCACGCCCTGGTGTACGTTTTTTCAAATACTCAACCGCCTGCGAAGAGAATGAGAATATTTCTTTTAATTGCCCGTTATTAAAAATTATATTTACACACACACACATGTATATATATATACATATATATATATATATATATATATATATATATATGTGTGTGTGTGTGTATACATATATGAATAAAATCTTGGAGAGCCTATTATCAAGTAAAACGGAGAAGCTAAAGATTTCAAAGTATCTTTATTATTCCAGACGTTTCGACATTAAACCTTATGTCATCATCAGGTGATATAATTTTCTTTTTGAAAACAAATATAACTCACAAAAATATTACGAAAATTGAAGATTGAGCAATTATATTGTAAAAACCAAATCGATTATAACACAAAAAATAACACATATCAAACAAACAACTATCTGACTATGTGCAGATAAACTCGCAGCTAATTTATCATTGTAGAAATGTGTTTGTTTTCAAAAATTTGTCACCTGGCCTTGTTACTTAATAGGCGGGGTAAAATGGGACGACCAGAAGGCAAACATGTCTTATTTTTATTTTTGCAGAAATTTAAAGAAATAATAGCTACAATATTCTACTAATGCAAAATACAAATGAACCTATTGAGGGTACTTTTCTTACCGAGGTTACACTGCATATAACCTTGATCTGGTATTTTGTCAGAAATTTAAATCAGCGGAGTCGGAATAATTATATCTAATTTTTCTTCTGTAAAATTGCTTTTTTTAACTTAACTTACTTTTTTATTCAATTTTTTTTATCTTTACACCCTTCCCACGATAAATTTTCAGTTAGTCCTTTTTACCCTACTCACGTGTTTTATAGAGGGTTATATGAAAAAACTCTTTAAACTAACTTAAAATTAACAATACATCTTATAAAAGAATTAAATAACGTATATTTAAAAATTATATTAAGGTCTCGTAAACTGAACAACAGTACTCACAATAAGAAAAAAAACTAACAACGAAAGAAAATACTTTTGTTATGGATTTTTAAACATTGCTATTTATATCTGAATAGCGACGTCGTAAGAATCAAAGTGATGAATGATTATACATCTTTGTACCTCTACTTTCAAATATTGTTGTTAAAAATTTCTTTACTTGTTTTTAAGATATCGGTGGTGAACCTTTAAGCCCCGCTCTACCCTATAATATGTACGTAGCACTGCAACTGTCAGTAATAACTTTTTAAATCAATTTTCTTCGAGAACATTTGTCCTGTGATTCATATCCACTGATGATGACATAAAATTTTATGTGGAAACGTGCAGAATAATAAAATTGCTTTAAAATTTTTGCCTTCTATTTTTTGCCTAATGTTATGCTATTCAAGATTTTATTCATACTATACAACATCGAAATTAACTTTTCTTAACATTTATTGTATAAATGTCGCAATATATATATATATATATATATATATATATATATATATATTATAAAGTTATTATAATATATATGAATAATAATAAAGATATGAAAATTCTGAAATCTGATTTGATCTATTTTGCATCCCGCTTCTAAAAAAAACTGTACAACATGTAAGTATTACTTGACTAAAAATATAGGTAGAATATTTTTACTGTAATATTTCTTTAAAAGCAAAGGATGAACTGAATGTACACAATTATGCAGATAGATTTTTAATTGGTATACATTTCGTACACCTGGAATAGTATAACTTGTACTTTTACTATGCAAATCAAATGCGCTTCAGCATAAGTAATATAAAAAATATAATATGATTTTATCAAAAACACTTTACCTGAAATATTCTTTACTGAATAGTGCTTGCATACATTTAAAGCATTTTTTAAAACTGAAATAATTTGATGTAAATATTTCTTAATTAAATTTAATTTTTGTGTTTCAAATTATTATGGTTTTTTTAAATAATCTTGATTATATACAAGAGATAAGTTAAATAAATAGTTATTCTAACTCTGCTGCTGATTATTTCTAACGAAATACTAAATCATGGTAATATACAGTGTTATCTTTGTAAGAAATATACCAATGAATATTTTGTATTGGTTGAATAATGTAGCTATTATTTTATAAAATTATTTAAATCATTGACCCTGTTTACACCCTGGCCGTTTTATTTTTATTTACGCCACGGTAAAAAGTACGAGGTGACAAATTTTTGAAAAACAGCAAAAACTAGCTGTAAGTGGAATTCTGTCTTAAGGCAATTAAGGCATCGTGCCTTAAGGCAAATTGCTGGAACTTCCCGTACCAAATATTATTAATTTTTTAAAAACGATTAACGTTTTTGAAAAAAATGTACTTTGAAAAAATAATATTTTTGAGAAACTATATATATGGACCAAAAATTACTTTTTTTTGAAAAAAAAATTTTTTTAAAAAAAATATTTTTTTTTTAATTTTTTTTTTTTTGAAAAAAATTTTTTTTTTCTTTATTTTGACATATTGTGGAAGATCTAAACTTTTTTTCAAAGCAATCGTACTGATTTAACTGCATAGGGACAAAATATAAAGCGCGTAAGCGCCGCGTCGCTGTCTAACGCATAAGCATTGGTACGGAACCCATAGGAATGTTAACAAAATGTATACTTATTGTTAAAATCTCTATAAAATATCTGATAATTTGATGTGCATATGTCTAATGATCATTTTTGACCGCCAAATGGCTCATTTTTTTACTTTTTCCTCTATATCTCCGAAACCCCGATCGATTCTTTATCTTGTCAATACAAGTGAAATGTTTTTTGAATTATTTAAATCGGACGCTCCGTTCTCTTAAAAACTGAGTTACCGTTTTCGGCACTTTTTGCCCCGTATCTTCGGAACGGCTAGACCTGCCTGCGCCAAAAACTAATCAGCACGTCTCCTTATCAATACGAATCGAATGTTTTTTGAATTATTCAAATCGGTTGATCCGTGTTCTCGAAATCGTCGACGAAAATTTGTATCCGCACATACATACACACACGTACATACATACACACACACATACACACACACATACACACACACACACACACCCACACATACATCCATTTTTTCTAAGGTATGCCAAAATGTTCAGAAACCTTTGAAACGTAAAGATATATAAAAATTTTCATTTTCGATTTTTTTGCGATTACTATAACTTGCCCTACGGGAAGTTAATAACACATTTTTACAATGAAGAATTAGCTGGGAGCTTAATGAACATAGTCAGATAGTTGTTTGATATGTGTTATTTGTTGTGATGTAATTTCGGTTTTATAGATGTTATATGAAAAAACAGTATAAATGCTCAAAGACAAATTGGACCTTTGTGCCCCACCTTACCCTATATATATATATATATATATATATATATATGTATATATATATATGTGTGTGTGTGTTTGTTTGTTTAAATTTAAATGTATTTATCTGTTACGTTAACAACACCCTCAATTACTCAGCTTACAATTACTCCGAGCACTTAACTTAATTTCCTACCTATACATTTTTCTCACAAATATTCCATATAATATTCTTATTTTCAACAAATTTAGTCATTTCAATTTAATTTAAATACGACCAAAATCTTAAATATAAATTGCAACTTCTGTAAATTAAAATGTAGCACATAGGAAATATGCAGCATATTGTGAAATGGAATTATTGTCGTAAATCATTGTATGAATTTCTGTCACCGGCAGTTTACAAGGATTCTAGTTGAGTGATTAAATGGAACAGACATCAAGCCAAATTTTTCATTTGCAAGAAAGTCTACTTTTTACTTTAATGCATAAGTTTGTGCCAATCATTCGAGTATAAATAGACGCTAAGAAGCATTAAGACAATGTAAAGACAGTGTTTGAAATTGTGCATTGAGACATATTGCTTAACATTTTGATTATTTAGATAAATTATCAGATAGAAAAACATTACAAAAATTAAAACTTAACATCAGTAACAATTGTAAGAATTAAAAGTATAATTGAACACTTTTGCAAATATTTATACAATTTTTTTATATATGTTAAGTATTTGAAATATGTATAAAATTGCAAAAAACTAGCTGTAAGTGGAATTCTGCCTTAAGGCAATTAGGGCATCGTGCCTTAAGGCAAATTGCTGGAACTTCTTGTACCAATTATTATTATTTTTTTAAAAACGATTAACATTTTTGAAAAAATTTTACTTCGTAAAAATTAGATTTTTGAGAAACTAGGAATTTGACAAAAAATTACTTTTTTTGAAAAAAATTTTTGTTGAAAAAAAAATGTTTTCTTTATTTTGACATATTTTGGAAATTCTGAATTTTTTTTTCAAAGCAATCGTACTGCTTTAACTGCATAGAGACAAAATGTCAAAGCGCGTAAGCGCCGCGGCGCCGTCTAACGAATAAAATTGGTACGGAACCCATAGGAATGCAAACAAAATTTATACTTATTGTTAAAATCTCTATAAATTATCTGATAATTTGATGTGCATATGTCTAATGATCATTTTTGACCGCCAAATGTCATTTTTTTTTACTTTTTTTATTAGATCTCCGAAACCGCTAAACCTGCCTTTATGAAAATTTGATCGGTTCTTAACCTTGTCAATACAAGTAAAACGTTTTTTGAATTATTAAAATCAGACGCTCCGTTCTCTTAAAAACTGAGTTACCCTTTTTGGCACTTTTTGCCCCGTATCTTCGGAACGGCTAGACCTGCCTTAGCCAAAAACCAATTAACATATCTCCTTATCAATATGTATCGAATGTTTTTTGAATTATCTAAATCGGTTGATCGGTGCTCCCGAAATCGTCGACGAAAATTTGTATCCGAACATACATACACACACGCACATACACACACACACACATACGTCCATTTTTTCTAAGGTATGCCAAAATGTTCAGAAACCTCTGAAACGTAAAGATATATAAAAATTTTCATTTTCGATTTTTTTGCGATTACTATAACTTGCCCTACGGGAAGTTAAAAACTAATTCTCATCTGAGTTTTGAAAAAATCTGGTATTTTGTAAATTTTGAGAAATTTTAGTTTGAAATTTAAACATAATTGAAGTAATAATTGTTTTAAATTAGGTGTAAGTTAATTTTTACTATTTTGCTAACGAACAATATGGCAATAGTAATGAAGTAAAATAAATCAAAAGACAAAGCTTATGTTAAAAATTTTACAAAAAAAATCGAGAGCATAACGCAAATTAAACAAATAGAAGTTTTTGAGAATTACAATTTTAAGTTAATCTTTACTTTTTTGCGACAAAACAATATGGCAATAGTAATTAAGTAAAATAACTGAAAAGACAAGGTTTACGTTAGAATTTTTTTAATAAAATTCTAATGTTTACACATAAATAATTGAAATATCTGCTTTTATTGATGTGCATGTTATAAGTAATTTGGAAAGGTTCCTATATTTATACGGAACCTAAAATTTTCTATGTAATATATTAACTTCCCGTAGGGTAAGTTATAGTAATCGCAAAAAAATCGGAAATGAAAATTTTTATTTATAGGTTTCTGAATATTTTGGCATACTTTAGAAAAAATGGATATATGTGTGCATACGTGTGTGTATGTATGTATGTTTGTGGTGATACAATTTTTAGCCGACGTTTTTGAGAGCACGTATCAACCAATTGCAACGCGGCGCTTACGCGCTTCGATATTTGGGATAAAAGTTCAAAATAAAAAAAAATGTTTAAATTTAAATTTCCAATTATATTATTACAAATAGTTCAATTTTTTCAAAAATTTCATTGTTCTCAAAAATATATTTTTTTTAAAGTTTTTTAAATTAAAAAAAAATTAATCAAACAGTACGGAAAGTTTAAACATTTTGCCATGAAGTACGATGCCATGCACTACTAGTTGTATTTTGAAATTGTATTCATTTATTTAAAAAATCGGATAATTCAATGTGCATATTTCATAAGCGCTCATTGTATACCTCTAAGGGTTGTTTTTAATATCCATTCATCTAAAACGCATAAAGAATTAATTCTTGAATTTTTTGCGATTTCAACGACTCATATTAAGGGAAGTTAAGAGAAGTAATTAATATTTAATATTAAATTAATCTTTAAAATAAGACCCCCCAAGACTAAAGTAAAACGTTTCCTCCTACATTAACTCCTTAGCACGTTTATATTGCAGTAAACCTACATTTGGGAATCCTCAAATAGCTCAACAGGTAAACGGTACATTGCTCATGTGTCTGCATAAAAGATGACAAGGACATTGCCGCTGTCGTGTCTCTATGTATATCTCCTAGGTTCGATCGATAATCAACAGTTTATTATTAGTTTCAGAAAGACGTTTTATTTGATATTTGTATATTTGGTATTCATGCAATTTGCATTTAGTGTTGAATTAAAAAATATTTTTTTAAGGTATTCAGTTATAATATACTTAAAACAATGACAAATATATCGGGAAACGCAAAACTTACTATGTACTATAGAAATGTGCATGGTATTAGCAAACCATGGTATGGACAACTAAGAAATAAATGTAAGACGTTGGTAACATCGAATTTTATTTTACATTCAATTATAGATGTTTCTCTTCATATCTTTATAAAATGCTCATGTGGCGAATTTAAACAAAATCCGTAGCATCTGATATTAGAATGTGAAAAATACAAATTTCAATGGTCCAAATTTTTAAGTAACAAATAAATTAAATATTAAGAATTCATTTATCCTTACCAGCTTACTTTATTCAATAATACAAATGAAGTTATTTATTATTGCTTAAACAAATATAAAATTAGTAATGTATTAATGTAAAAGTATAAAATAGTTTTGCAGTGATTGACGCATATACTCGTCATGGAAAAATGACAGAATTTGGTGTATTAACAAGTTTATTCGTCAAGCGTATAAAATAGTGACCATTCGCTTTTTTGGAGAATAAAAAAAACAAATAAATTTTTTTGTTTTGTATAACCTCTATAAAAGCTTACATGTAAGCTTTCAGGTGGAGTAAAAAGGATCCACCGAACCTTTACCCTGGCAAAGGTGAAAACATTAAAACATAGTAATAAATAGAATAAAGTTAAAAAAGGCAAATTCACAACAAATAAGATAAATAAATAGTTATTTCAACTCTGCGGATGAATGTTTCTGACCAGATCAAGGTTATGTACAGTGTTCTGTGAACATTTATCTATGAAAATTAGTAATGTATTAATGTAAAAGTATAAAATAGTTTTGCAGTGATTGACGCATATACTCGTCATGGAGAAATGGCAGAATCTAGAGTCGATTCGCAAGCGTATAAAATAGTAACCATTTGCAATTTTGAAAAAAAAAACAAATATATTTTTGTTTTTTTTATGTAACCTCTATAAAAGCTTAAATGTGGGTGGAGTAAAAAGGACCCCCGGAACTTTGCCATAGCAAAGGTGAAAACTTTAAAATATAGTAATAAATAAAAGTGAAGTAAGTAAAAGTAAAGGAGTAAAGTTAAAAAAGGCAAATTCACAAGAAATAAGATAAATAAATAGTTATTTCAACTCTGTTGATGATTTTTTCTGGCCAAATACCATATCAAGGTTATGTACAGTGTATATCTATCTCTGTAAAAATTTATTTATGAAATTGTTTCAATAATGTATCTGTTATTTTGTAAAATCCCTAAAAAAATAAGAATAAGAGATTGGATCTGTCTGCCCCCCTGGCTGTCCCATGTTACTCCGCCTATAAGGTAAACAGGACCAGGTGACAAATTTTTGTAAAACAACAAAAAAAAACACATTTCTACAATGATAAATTAGCTGGACAGATAGTTATTTGTTTGTGTTATTTGCTGTGATATAATTAGTTTGGTTTTCACAATATAATTGTTCAACTCAAGTTGGACCTTTATGCCCCGCTCTACACTTTTTTCTGATAATTGTAAAATTAGATCAATAATATATAATCATGTTAAACTGGTAATTTGTAAGAAGGATCGTATTAAATATATTTAGAAGAAACGATAAATTTATTTGGCCTGAAATCTTAACCTTATGAATTTCCGTGCATCGATAGAAACGCCTGAACCAATAAACGCACGTACACTTTATATTTATATATACTGTATATATATACACATTTAGATCCATGTATATATAGACATATGTATATAGTCATATAAATGTATACGAATGCGTACCTGTATTTATATCGTACCCTAGTTCTTTCCCTCCTTTCTTCGCGCTGGAATAATTTATTTCCGCTATTGAAATATTTTCTTACATAATATTTCATGTTTTCTCTTACTATTAAATATTTATGGGTTATCTTTTATGTTATAGGCGGCGGTGCCACATGACCATGAACAAAACATTCCCTAATTAATCAAATTCAATTTATGCTTTGTTGAGGATCGTACTTTATTCATGAGCATGTCGACGCATGGGCAAATCTGAAATTTAAGCATACTACAATGGAAAAGGTAAATTTAATGATTTAGGAGATGGAAATAGATGACCTTAAATATATATATATATATATATATATATATATATATATATATATATACATATAAATGGAGCTCGGTATTATGTAAGGTATGGTAAGGCTCTAAAACGGCTGAATAGATTTGGTCAGTCTTAGTCTTGAAATATTCGTGCTAATCCAGAGGTTGTCGAAAAGGTAAGATATTATTTCAAAACCGCGTGGAAAATTTACATTTTCAATATATTTTTTTTTTTTTGTAGAAGCGCAATTCAAAATGAAACAATCGACTGCGGCTTATACGTCAAATGTCAAATGGCAAGTATGTTCAATTAAATGTAATAGTTGAAAAAAATTAGAAATACCTTACTTAGCAAAACAATGTTTGCCAGGCCAGCTAGTACATATATACATATATATAAAAATATATCAAGGTGTGTGTATGTGAATATGGTTATGACATGCTTTTTCAAACCGCACATCTTTCCTCCCTTGACATTTTCCTCGATTTTTATTTCGCGTTCTATATTGGAAAAAGAATTACCTAGTTTTCTTTATACGTATTTTTGGGGGAGATAGAAGCGATCGAAAATCTAAATTTCAATGATTCTTGGCTTGCAAACTTATTTTATGAAAATTTTCATGAAATCTTACTATAAAAATAAATATTAATTCTAAATCTAAATTTCAATGATTCTTGGCTTGCAAACTTATTTTATGAAAATTTTCATGAAATCTTACTATAAAAATAAATATTAATTCTAAATCTAAATTTCAATGATTCTTGGCTTGCAAACTTATTTTATGAAAATTTTTATGAAATCTTGCTATAAAAATAAATATTAATTCTAAATCTAAATTTCAATGATTCTTGGCTTGCAAACTTATTTTATGGAAATTTTCATGAAATCTTACTATAAAAATAAATATTAATACTTTGTTACATATTTCTTACTATCTCCAATGGTAAATCAATATAGAACAATAGATAAACTTTTATCATAAACAATAGTATTTTTCTCAAGTAGGAGAGCTTGGTACTTTATGTAACGGGGGTAACTAGTTACAGGCGTTTTTCAATAGTATCTTAAGTAATAATAAAATAGTTTTTTGTCTTGATTAGGCATATTAACCGTCCTGCATAATATTGTTATAGCTACTGTCCCAAAGACCTGCACACTATACAGAACTGTGCAGGCCCGTCATTTTTGATATAAAATATAAATTTGATTTATCATAAAATTTATGATTTATTACTATCGACTAATTTTAAATTTTAAATACCTTATTTTGTTTCAAATTTATTAATTTTTGATAAAGTGTAGCAGTATTTGCGATAGCTAAATTGGTTCATGTAAACAAATCACATTTGGGGTTGAAACAAAACCTTGGACCTAGTTATAACATACAAGATTTATATACAGATTCAAGTGAAGAACGGGTGGAATTTATAGTTTGTAAGATGTGAGCACATGTAAATTGTGTTACAGGAGATACTATACATTTTATTTGTATTATGATAATAATCGTAGTTTACGTTGATTTATGATAAAAATTGATATTACAGAAAATATTATATATTTTATCTGAATTAATTATAGTTTACGTTGACGTATGCAAAGAATTACTTAAAAGCAAGTCAATTTTCTTAAAAGTTAGTAAAGAATAAATTATCACAGACCTTATTCTTGTTTTTTATCGTTAGTACTTACCGCGGTATATGTTACAACTAGCCTTTGGGACTAGTAAGTTGTAACACCTAACTTGGTAAGTTTATATATATAATTATATATTATAAGAGGTATTGTTAACACTGCACTTTTTCTAGTCTATTAATTGTGAAATAATGAACAGCATTTGTGAAATTGTTTTCAATTAATTCAGTTATGTAGTTACAATAACTATCCATCTTTATTTTGTAGAAATATAATCACTGAATCTCAAGATATATTAATTTAAAAAGCTGTCCCAACAAGCCCCTAGCTCTCCTATATATTTTTATTATTCTACTTGCAATAAAAACGGTGCACTTTTCTTTAGATTATTATACTTCAACATTAATAAGCATTATTCAATGCGGTCATTTTATGTTAATGTTCTATTTTATTGTTCTAAATGTATAAAATGAAAATAAAACTAATTTTGAATAAATAAAATAAATAAAGCACTCGTGGATTTTATAGTAGAATCCACTTACTATAAATTCACACTGAATATAAAAGAACTGCGTCAGACTTTAAACAAGATTTCTGAAAATGCCAATCTCTCACTAGTTGTCATTCCAAATGATTAAACTTTTCATGTAGTCTGTAGACAAATCCGATAATTAAATTTTGAGCAATGTCGTCTACTTTGTACCTTGTAAAGGTTGTTTGTCGAAATTGGATTGGAGACTATTCGGAAAACCTCTAAACAAAACTCCAACAATATGTTAGCAATTTGATAAATAAAAGTTTTGGTCTCTGGTGATATTTTTTTAATTAAAACAACGTTTTATTATTTTTGAAAGAATTTTGAGTTCAGTGTGATTAAACACAAAAATGTATTTATTTGTGAATTAATTAAATTAGGAAACACTTTGACAAAAGCCTCGATAAATGTTTATGCAAAACATATTTAGAAAATAAACTTCACAATGGATATTTTAAGCAGAATGGATATTATAAGTTATAATGACATGTCATTATGTCAATGAAAAAGGTGCATCACCTATATCTCAAAAGCAAGTAAAGTTAAGAATTTTTTAACAACAATATTTGAAAGTAGAAGGAAAAAGATGTATAACCGCCATCACATTTATTCTTACGGCGATACAATCGGTATATAAAAGGCAATCTTTGAAAATCTATAACATAAGCATTTTCTTTCGTTGTTGGTTTTTTGGATTTGAGCACCGTTGTTTAGTTTACGAGACCTTAATATTATCTATATGTTAATTATTTGTATTATAAGACGTATTGTTAATTTTAAGTTAGATTCAGCAGTTTATTTTTTGTACCTAGCTCACACGTGGGTGGGGTAAAAAGAACTGAACTTCTACGCTGGCAAAGGTGTATTCAATAAAAAATAGTGAATGAAAAAATAAATCAAGTTAAAAAATACAATTTTACAAGAGATAAATTATATAAGTAGTTATTCCAAAAAAATTATGTAGAAAATTATACTCATGAAATTTATATTTTGCATTGAGTGAATAATGAAACTATTATTTTGTCAAATCTTTTTAAAACTAAAAATAGGACATTAAATCTGTTTGCCCTCTGGAAGTCCCATTTTACCCTGTCTACGTAGTTAATATAACTAGGTGACAAATTTTTAAGAAACAGCAAAAAAAAGATTTCTGCAATTATGAATTAGCTAGGAGTTTAACTGAACATAGTCAGATAGTTGTTTGTTTGGTATATGTTATTTGTTGTGTTATAATTAGTTTGGTTTTTACAATATATTTGCTAGAAGTCAAATTGGACCTTTGTGCTCTGCCCTAACCTATATAGAATAAAACTCCATGTTTAATACTACTTCTCTCATTACACACCACTTTACTCCGGTCCCCGCTCTTTGAAACTTGAAACATATTGTTCATTTCCCGGATAATACACTTTTTTATAGAAACGGATTTTTGGGCCGGTTCTTGGGAAATCGCCTTCACGGGTTTTTGCTATACATACATATACATATAATTGTAACAATGCTCAGAAATCAAATATCGTTCTCATTCAGTGAAATCATCCAATCAAATTGAAATCGTGACCAGAATATTACAACATTCTTTTTTCAATTTAAATAGAAATATTCTTTAAAGTGTTTAAAATTTCTCTTACGGGTTTTAGTTCAGCACAATATATAATATAAAAGCGACGCCCTAACTCAGAACCCCATAGCATGGCACATTCCAGCACGATTCCACTCGCTCGTGGAAAATAATTTATAGAGTTCTCTTAAAAACTAGAATTATTCTAATAGATAAAATTCCATTCTAAGAAATTGAATCGCTTCATCGCTAAGTATTAATTCAACAGATAAATAACCGCAAATACAGACGATGAAAGTTTATGATTAATCTGCATTTAAATTATGCTGACATAGGTATATATATATATATATATATATATATATATATATATATAGTGTCTAATAATTGAGACTCAACAAAAACATGAATTTATTTATATATTTATTATAAAATCCATTCGTTCCGTATGTAGTTCTTGCATTCAGAGAAGTCAAAAGAATCTAAGAAAAATTTTATTTTAATTTTACTAATGTAGCCAAACTAGTCAAAATTTGACAACAATTGTTTACTGAATACATTGTCATGCTAAAACACAATACCGATTTTTTTAACCCAATCTAAAGAAAATTTATTTAAAAAACATTTTTCGGAAGAAAGTTTCACCCAGATCAATAAATAAAGGCAATGACATTTCTACAGTATGTGATACGAACATTTGGCTTTTGGCTTGTGTTTCGAAGCTTATAAAGTAATAAAAATATGGAAGTTTTATCCGGATCTGTAGCCAAAAAGCAATAAATAAACGCAACGACAATTTTACTCTGTCTAACAAATATTTGGGTTCCGGATTGTATTTCGAAGTTTGATAATAAAAACATGTGTAGACAAAATTCACAATGAGTTTTACTTATTTTGAAATCTTGTTAAAATTATGCTTTTTTTAAAAAAAAATTTATTGTATCTTCAATTAATCTTCAGATTGCATACATACCCTTTTTGTAAAAAGTTATTTAGTCAGAAAAATTGTGAAAAATATTTATATAAACCTTCTGTTTTATTACATATTGTAATGCTATACCATATCCTTATTGAAAAGCAAATTGAAATTATTTTTACTTTTTTACTTGTAGTTTAAACTTTATTGTTACATATCTTAAATTTTAAATTTTATTTCCATTGAAAAAAAGCTAGGACCATAGCCAAAACATTTGGATTTTATATTAAATTTTTGAAGAAATACGAATTTTTTTATTGATGCTAAGCCCAATTATTGTATTCTGTTAATACATCTGTCAACATCAAATTCAAAGCTATTTAATATATATATATATATATATATATATATACTAGCGGGCCCGGCAAACGTTTAGCCATACAAATCAAATTTATTGAATGTCCTTTACTGGACAGTTGTAAATAAAAGAGATAATAATAAAAAATATTCATTTTAAAAATAACTGCAGAAGTGTGAGATAAGTGTAAGAAACAGCTATCACAAATGAAATTGATGGTTTACCCACTGCAACGCATGTCTCATATAAATATTCTTCAGATATATTAATTATTCGATTGCCAGCTTAAGGACAGTG